AAATGTTGTCAATATATGCTCAAGAGATTCCAGGTAAAGGGCCAGGCAGAGGGAAAACTACTGAGAAAGGCAAAAACCCTTACAAGTCCATACTAATCTGACCATGGGGTAAAACATGGCGATTGGTTTGACTCTGAATGGAAGGGCAAGACCCTCTAGCCAGGAACCTCTGGCTTTGGTTCCAGGATCACTGGCACAGTCCAGTCAAAGGCTTGGCTATAGCTACCACCAAATGTCTTCAAAAGAGGCTTGAAAGCACCCTGACAAATATTCCGGGTTGTGGGGGGGCGGGGAACGACACGGACCAGCAAAGCCCAGGAGCATGGAAAATACCTGTAGCAGAACATAGCTACACCTAGATCATTCCTGCCTGGTGACTGGCCAACCTCTTTTTGAACACCAGCAGCAATGGAGAGTCCACAACCTCCCTAACACAACCTATTCCACTGGTTCACTATTCTCACAGTGAACAAGTTTTTCCAGACAGCCAATCTAAACTTACTGTGCAGCAACTTCAAGCCACTGAAAGTAATTTCCTCAGCAACAATGTCAAAAGCTAGTTTTTCAGGGGAGCCGAGATATTTTTTTTATTCATACAATCAAATCCAGTGGGAGTGTTTTCTGGGGATTTCTGTAAAGTCTTGTTTTCAGGAGCCCATTTTTAAGAACTATTTATTGTTAATTCTTCAGAAAACTACTAGTTTTAGATATGCAAGAAGTCCCTAAGGATAACTAGGTAGGCCCAGAATACTTTAATTGCTCATCAGCATCCCTGTACCTCAATACACACTTAAAAATAGTACTTAAAATTCATATGCCACCATTGGTTATAGAGGAGAATTTTAATAAGACACTGAAGGTTAAAAGTGGCTCCAAACGAGAGGTTCTAGTGATACAAACCGAAACAAGGGTAGTAAAGTGACACTAACCTAGTCAGTCAGTCCTGAATATTTTTAAATATTAGTCGGTTAGTCTCCCAGGTAGTTGAAAAGAGCAAGGGAAGAAAGGCAGCAGCATCATCTTCTGCTTGGCAGTAGCCAAGCAGAAGAAAGGCAGTCAGTCTCACCTCCATCCTAGGCAAAGTCTTTGAAAAAATTATCAAGGCTCACATTTGCGAGAGCCCGGCAGGAAAAATTATGCCAAGGGGAAACCAGCACCAGTTCGTAGCAGGTAGATCATGCCTGACTAATCGAGTCTCTTTTTATGACCAGGTTACAAAACATCTGGATGCAGGAGTAGGGGTTGACATTGTTTACTTAGACTTCAGGAAGGCCTTCAATACGGTATCCCACCCCATACTGGTGAAAAAGTTAAGAGGCTGTGACTTGGATGACTACACAGTCCGGTGGGTGGCGAATTGGCTGGAGGGTGGCACTCAGAGTCGTAGCGGATGGGTCTGTATCGACCTGGAAGGACGTGGGTAGTGGGGTACTGCAGGGCTCAGTCCTTGGACTGATACTCTTCAACGTCTTCGTCAGCGACTTGGACGAGGGAGTGAAATGTACTCTGTCCAAGTTTGCGGATGATACAAAACTGTGGGGAGAAGTGGACACGCTGGAGGGCAGGGAACAGCTGCAAGCAGACCTGGACAGGTTGGACAAGTGGGCAGAAAACAACAGAATGCAGTTCAACAAGGAGAAATGCAAAGTGCTGCACCTAGGGAGGAAAAAAGTCCAGCACACCTACTGCCTAGGAAATGACCTGCTGGGTGGCATGGCAGCGGAAAGGAATCTTGGAGTCCTAGTGGACTCCAAGATGAACATGAGTCGGCAGTGTGACGAAGCCATCAGAAAAGCCAATGGCACTTACTCGTGCATTACCAGATGCATGACGAATAGGTCCAAGGAGGTGATACTTCCCCTCTATCGGGCGCTGGTCAGACCGCAG